GTGACTTTTACTAAAACAAACTCTCAGAGCTGATCACTTGCATCGGCTGTCGGTTTTCATTGCTGATCTTAATGAAGCCTCCTTCCCATAACTTGCCAGAAAAACATTCGAAGTCTCCTAGTTCCCAAAAGACTGGATCGGCTGTTGCGATGCTCATAGATTCATCAGCGCGAACCACCTCGACATCATCCCCATGCCATTGAATCAAACACTGATGCATGGTTGATGGTACACAACAGTTTGCATGAATCCAATCACGGTCGAGGAGCAAACTGTACGACCCTTTTCCATTGATGACAAAGAATGTGGTGAGCAGAGTCTTACTTCTGATTGTTAGTTCAACGTTTATTGCCCCCCGGGTCTTAGATGTATTACCTCCAAAATTTTTAAGCATCATGTCAGTCTCCATTAGATCTCCTAGTCCTTTGCCAAGTTTACAAAAAGTAGTGTAAGGCATAAGATTGACAGAAGCACCTCCGTCCACTAACATCTTATTCATCGGCTTTCCATCAACAAGACCTTTCATGTATAAAGCTTTTAAGTGCCGATGCTTGACTGGTTTATCAAATATTGCTTGTTGTACAGTTATCAACTTGGTAACTATCTCCTCATACTCTGATTCATCGAAATCCGAATAAACTTCTTGATCTGCCGGAGCTCTAAATTCTGATGGCAACAGAAAAGCCATTTGGATATTAGCCGATGGTTGCTTTCTATCGGCTGTCTTCTTAGTACGCCATACTTGAGGTTTACCGGATGCCTAAGCCTGTTTCAACTCTTTATTCCTTAAACGTTGCACCCTTCTCTTTTGGCTTCGTGTTAGATCTCCTGGACACCATTGGCCTTTCTGCCAAACATATTTTCTTTCGTTGCCTTCTTCTTCATAATCAGCCCAGTCTTGGTCAACAACTCGCTTTCCAAGCCAATCATGAACACTTTTATTTTTTAAGCGCCGATCCATGTTATTATGATGATATGCATCTTGATCATGGATAGACCGGCGGTTGGTTTGAGATTGCCTAAACTCCCAATACTGATTGTTGTATTCTGGACAGTCATGTCTGGTAGGCAACTTCAAACCTTCATTCCAGCAATGTCTGAAGAAAGGACAATTCCAATGTGATTTGGCTTATTTTCTTTCATATCTCTCTCTTTCTAGTTGACGCTGGTATTCTTGATCCTTTAACCAACGCTGATAATCCTTTTCCTTCTGCCACTGCCACTTATTCAACAGAATCCGAGAGGTAACCCGCGGCTTTGTTGTCCCTGCTTTTGACGTCCCTCCTTGCTCATATCGGCTCCTTTGCTCATCACGACGTCTCTTAATTTCCCTATATTCATCCGCCGATATTTGCATCTTGGGATCGACTGTTCTAGCTTCTTTTGATTTGGTTGATGTTAGGACCTTAGTCTTTCTTTTGATCAGCCTAGCATCAACCATGTTTTGATCTCCTGAGAAAGGATTATCATCAACTTTTATTTTCTGAGGCATATCAAATTTGAGCCTCCCTGCTGAATAACCCTCTGTATATGCTGTCAGAAAATTCTGTATTCATTAGTGAAATGAGAAGTAGCGTTATGGAACTTACAGAACTTCTTATTCTTCAACTGATCTGGGGGCAACATAATATGACCATCAGGTAACTTGATCTGTCCTTTCTCAAGCAAGAAATCAAAGAGCTTATCTAATTTGGTGACATCAAAGTCATAGCTCTCCTCGACTCCTCTTCCCCAAGGATTTGGCACCATTACTATTTTCTTGCCCCAATTCCATTTAGCCGCAACAATCTCTTCTTCTTCATCTTCATAGCCATCATCGACTGAGTATGGATTATAAGCCTCAACCATTGTAGTACTTTTCTGAAATCGGGTATCTCTACGTATACTCTGGAATTGGCTATTGAGCGCTGCCACTCGTTGAGCCAATTGACCCAAGTTATTAAATTCTTGTCCGAGCAGCTTTTCTTTCCACATTGGCAGCATTCCCTGAAGGGCTAAAGCAGCTAGATGATCATCATCCAAGTTTAAGGAGAAGCACAAGTTCCTAGTCTCTCGGAACCTCTGAAGAAACTCAGTGCCTGATTCATTAGTCTTCTGCCTTATAGTTGTCAGACCGGTAATCTTCTTTTCTCCGGTCCCAGTATAAAAATATGTATGAAACTTCTTCTCTAGGTCAGCCCAATTGGCAATGGAATTGACTAGTAGTGATGAAAACTAAGTGAAGGCTGGCCCTAATAGGGACAAGGAGAAGAAATGAACTCGATGGGCATCCTCAACTGATGCTTCGCCTAATTGCGTAAGATACCGACTGACATGTTCTATCTTGCTTGTACTATCTTGGCCAGTGAACTTAGCGAACTCTGGGAGCTTGTAATTTATGGGAAGAGCGACCAAATCATACCATTCTGGATATGGGCATTTGTACGAAAAGGTCAACCCCTTTAGCTTCAGACCGAACTAATTTTTCATCATCTCGGTCACCCTCAGCAGCAACTCATCAGTATTTGAATTTGGATTTCTCTGCACCTGCTGACCCATCTGTGGATTGAAATCCCATGTGCCTTGGTATCCTATATTCGGAATCATATGAAGGGTGTTATAATCTATGCCATAGTGATACCCTTATAGAATCTCCATCTGCTGGGTTTTTTACTGGCTTGCTGCTTGAAGTCTCTGATTATAGACATAAGGATCTATATCTCTACGGATCCTTTGAATTGAGGGTGCTATCTTTTGAGTCGATGACAGTATGTGGCCTGTTAGGCCAAAATTGATCACCTAGTTCTGACCTTGCTCCGCCGGCTGTTGCACATGCTGTACTGATGATCCAGGATTATACTGTATTTGATTCGTAGTAGTACTTTGAGCTTGTTCAGATGGACCCTGAACTGCCTGGACATCACCATTACCAGCTGGTGCTGCTTCTTGATGGCTGGTACCGACTTGATTAGTCTCTTGGGTCGACGGATCTAGAATGTTCTAATAAGCCGGTCCACCTTGACCAACTGGAAACCCATGAATCGTCTCTTTCATGGTGTTGTGGAATATGTCCAAGAAAGCTTTATTTTGGCTTAATATGACATCACGAATAGATTTGTCTACAACTTCCATAAAGAGACGTCTGTCTTCAGCTTTAGTTGTATCTGTCTGCCCGTGTAATAAAACTCTTGGTAGTGGAAATTTTTGAACAATTGTGTTGTCACATGTTTTGGTGTAGGACAACAAACACTTGTTCTGAAACTCTTTTGTAGCTTTGCTGATGACACCTTTATCTCCATCAGGTAGATCTTCATAATGTATCATAAGGATGTTGTTGTTGTTATGAACCACCATGACGATTGTGGTGTCCCACCGGGCGTGCCAGAAACATGTGTCGACACGAAATTTCGTCCCGTGCCGAGGACACACGAGCAAGCCGGAAGGGTCCACTCGATGGAGCTGGAGATCCGCCTAGCTTCAGCGCAGGGGTGGTCATGGGGGTTGTGTAAGAAGAATCGGTTATCGTTCAGGATGAATATCATTATTTAGACAAATATCGGTCACTGGTAAAAGGATATCAACAATAATTAGTTTATGCTAAGCCAATGACTGCAAGTAACCAAACCCCTTTATAAAAGAAACAGTTCATCATTATTCAACCATTTAATTGAGATAAATCTAATGAACATGTTAGATCTCATCTATCGCTATGACCAGTGGGGCATGAGGCAGAATCATGCAGGCCGTAGAAACAACAATAGACTCGACGACCCTAACTTATTACTAATATTAGTGGGGCATGATGCAGAATCATGCAGGCCATAATACAATAATAAGATCATGGGGCTAACACATCTTTCAATCTATCGCTACTTCAATGATCTCGTCATGTGAACTGTTCGTGAAAGCGCTCGATATCGGTTAAAACAGTCGATTCAGCCATAGCGCATAGTTAAGGTCATGTCCTCTCAGGAATAGATCTACCAAATAACGATCCCCACTCCATGGTGCTAACAGTGGGGTGTGAGGCAGAATCACACAGGCCATGATAACGGGCCATGGAACAGTTTTCGCTAGCCAATAGATCTACTCAAGATCAAACATGCCTTAACCGCACACTATGCACGATCAAGATTGATGTAAAACAACCGATAAAACATAACTTATCGTTTAAAGTGCAGATTAAACTAGTTTAGATTAACAAACGATGTGTTAAAAAAGATATAAGATCGATCTAGATCAATTCCAATCGAACGAAGTGATATTGCTGTAATTAAATAAATAATGAAAGCAATAAGCAATATCGGTAACTTAATGAATCTATCCGAAGGAACGCCACCCTTAGATAGAGCCGATAACTTGACCTTAATCTAGTTCGAGCAGTGGAGGTCGACCGGATTGATGCAGCCGTACTTAAACTAGACAAGAGTCGATAACTAACTTATACCAGAGTCATAGTGGAGGTCGACCGGATCGATGCAGCCGTACGAACAGAGGTATAAGCCATGACGGTACTTACAGACAAACAGTGGAGGTCGACCGGATCGATGCAGCCGTACTTGCTGAAGAACTCGTTGAGATCTATTCTACTCCTACTCATAAGGGGTGGCCGGAGCCAAAAAAGTAAATAACTGGTATTTTATTGATTGTGTGTTCTTTACAATAGCCAGGGTTTGATATTTATACCCGGGACCTACGCATGACTCCTGTCTAAGCACGACTCATCACGATTTTTGACCCTAGAGAAAACATTCTTAATTTAAGATAACTTGGACTTTAATCTTTTCTTTTTTGTAGAGTCCAACATGTCTCGTTCTGGCGCTGATCATAGCCTTTGTCGTTATCCGCTGGCGCTACGTGAAGAAAGTCGATTCCAGTTTTGCATTCGAATCAGCTGGTTTCAATTTGCACGCAATTGATTCCTTGATGACATGATCTTGGGAGTTTTCGAGTCCCTGTGACTCTTCTCCCAAATTTTGGTGTAAACACTGATAAAACATCTGGGTAGCATCCTTGTATAGCAAGCCAGCAGAGAAATAATGTCATTGTTGAAGATGGGTCTGATGGGTGTGGAAAGGTTAGCGATCATCGTCCTGATTCTCCTGCAAAGAAAAGGATAAGAAAAGAACATTCTTCCTATACTGGTGGCAAAAGTGATCATACAACAGAAAATGAAGTTGCTGAAGCAAACAGCCAACACAAATATAGTATTCCAAGCAAAGAGAAGATGACAAATGAAAAAGAAGAAGTGATCAGTGGCTTAAATCACAATGTGTTGCAAGGAACTAAAAGAAAACAACATACTGCAAGTTCTGGAAGTGGAAGCGATGCTGCTGCTAGATCTGTGAACAATAGTATTCCCTGCAATATTACAGTTTCATGTCCAGATTCAGATTTCTATGACTTTGAGAAAAACAGGGATGCAGATCGATTCACAGTTGATCAGATATGGGCAATTTATGATGATCTTGATGGCATGCCAAGATACTATGCTCGAATTAATCAGGTTTACTCTCCAAACTTCATGTTGCAGTACACATGGCTAGAGCATGATCCTTTGTGTGATGCTGAGAAGGAATGGTCTTCTAAGGAGCTGCCTGTTGCATGTGGAAATTTCAGAGTTGGAACAACACTCTTGACTGAAGATACCAAGATGTTTTCTCATGTTGTTTCTTGGACAAAAGGAAGGAAGAGGAACAGATATGAGATTTATCCTAAGAAAGGTGAAGTTTAGGCACTTTTCAGGGGATGGGACATCAAGTGGAGTTCAGATTCCGATGATCATAGGCATTATGATTATGATATTGTTGAAATCACCTCAGACTTTGCTACGGGTTTAGGCACTTATGTGGTTCCCTTGGTAAAGATTAAAGGTTTTGTCAGCTTATTTGTTCAATCAAGCAATGAAGCACCATTTCTGATACCTAGTGGCAACACCCTTAGTTTCTCGCACAACATCCCTTTTCACAGGTTGGCAGAAACTGAGAGGAAACACATCCCAAATGGTGCTCTTGAGCTGGATACTGCATCACTACCTTCTAATTTGGAGAAAGCGTTTACTCCTATGAACCTTGACAGCAGTTTTATGAGCACCAGAGATGGTAACACTGCATGTAATGTTTCATCTACCAGCTCTTGTAAAGTGCCAGTTGGAAAGACCGAACAGAGTCAGGATGGTACTGGTACAGATGTGAAGGATGAAGTTGAGAAATTGAATCAGAATACAAAGATTGAACAAGATAATGGCTCAGAAGCTTCAGTGATTGATCATTGTGGTGATGGGTGGAATGATAGCTCTCCACCAGAATCTCCAACTAGCTTTTGTTACCCTGATACAGAGTCTTGCAACTTTACTAGTTTGAGATCATTTGACAAATTCAAGAAAGGGCAAGTATGGGCACTGTATTGTGATACTGACAAGTTCCCAAAGTACTATGGTTTAATAAAGAGCGTCGATTCAGAAGACTGCAGAATTCACATAAAGTGGCTTGAGCACTGTCCATGTGAACAAGTGGAGAAGCGCTTGGCACAAGACGGTTTTTCTATTGGCTGTGGAATATTTGAAGTCAGCAGGCAAAGTGAAATCTATGATTGTACAGAAGTCTTCTCTCACAATATGGAGGTGAGGCTGACGGGTAAAGGGAAAAAAATCTGAAATCCTTCCATGTACTGGCCAGGTATGGGCTATATACAAGAACTGGAGCCGTGCATGGAGCTTCGAAGATTACAGTAGATGTGAATATTTTCTGGTCGAGGTCATGGAGATTTCTAATGGAAATATAACAGTGTCATGTCTTACTAAAGTGGAGGGGTTTAGCACAGTATTCATGCCAGAGCAGAAAGGTGAATCCAGGAGTTCCATGAGAATAGCAAGGAGTGACTTGATTATGTTCTCTCATCAGATTCCTGCCTTCCGCTTGACAAATGAAAACGACCATCTTTGTGGTTACTTGGAACTTGATCCTGCATCACTACCAGAAGTTTTACTGGTCAGAAAAACCAAGTGAAACATTGGCGATTTGATAGAGGATTTTGGCACCATGAAAAGTCAAGGTATGGTTTTGACAATGTATCATAAATTTGAATAGACTAGTTTAGCATGATTGAACACATGGCACTTCTTCAGCTATTGTTAACTATTCATTTGTTTTCTCTGCAGTGCTATGTTGACAAAGCTGTGGTACTGGATTGTTTATTTTGGTTATTAACTGTACCTTGTGTCATGTAAACAGGCTAATTCATTAGTTTGCTACCTGATGCCACGATGTTAAGCCTTTTTCTGGCTGGCTCTCGCTTTAGGTTTCATCTCACCTGTTTGTCTTTGTTATTACATCCATTGTGGACATTTTGGTGGCTATACCAGTTGATCACGGCTATTGTTCGCACCTTAGCAGTGCTTGCACACTAGCATTTGAAACTTTAACAGCATTAGCATGTACTGTATGTACTACGTTCCATATCTCATATCTGGAAACTGAGATGGGTGTGTGGAATTGACGTGTTCCTGTCTTCTTTTATCGTTGTGTGTGCTGCTTGAAGAATCCTGAAATGCCTACTTTCCAGTGCGGCTAAGCTAATCGTGAGAGCATGTTTGCTATTAGTATAGTCCTTTTTTGAAGATCTGTTAACTTCGTTGATCTTTCAAAGTTATTGTATGTTTACGATTTGCTGGATACTGAAAGTAGCTTCTTTGTGTATTTTGTGTGTGTGTGTGTGTGTGTGTGTGTGTGTGTGTGTATATATATATATATATATATATATATATATATACACACACACACGGCGAGGCTAAAATGCAACAAGGTGCAATTAATATAGCAATTGCACAGACCATAAAAACACCTCCCGCCCCCGCGCCCGACAAAAACAGGCCACGCCCATTCTGGGCGGTCCCGCATCCACCAGCGTGGGCGTGGGCAGCGCAAGCCGCCAAACACGTGGGCCGCTCGCCTCCCCTCAAAAAATGGGCCGCGCGCATCCGATTCGTCTGAATCGAGCGCCAATTGCAACGCCGTGTGTCTTGTGATTGCAACCTCGATTCTGTTCTGGTTGCAACATATATGCGTGTGCACGGGATGTCTTGAACGGCAAGTAAGAAATACAACAGAAACAGAAAAAGGGATCGCCTGAGGAGGAAAAAACACATCCCACCCCACGCCCCCCTCTCTCGCAGAGAGAGCGCGCCGCCCGCCACCGGGCGTGAGCGCCTTGAGGGGGCGTGCTCCTCGCTCAGCTGTTGCTGCCATGAGCCGCCAGGCCTCGCCTCTGCACCGCCGCGCGCTAGCCGCCAGGCGCGCCTCGCCTGCACGCCTGGCGCGCAGCCGCCTCCCGCGTCCCGCCTCCAGCATCGAGATGGGGCCAACGCCGCCGTCGCTCGTCGAGGCTGGGCCACTCGCCCTGCGTGATCCACCGACGGCATCGGAGAGGGTCGCTGCGTTGATTCGAGCACATCGGAGAGAGCCTCCGCCGTCGTCGACACCCATGCTTCCCCCGATAACAGCAATTACAAGCGATCCCCTCCACCATACGACGACACTCACGCCGCCGGCGACATTGGCTCTAGGGGACATGGTGACTCCAGATGCCAACCAGCTGTTCTACCCGGTAAAAAAAAGCACTTGACCTCCCTTATGCTGTGCCTGTGAGTTGAATGCTTGAATCACCTGTGATTTGTGTGCTGGGTGCAACTAATTGCGACACGGCTTTCGTAGTAATTGCGACCACGACTTTGGGATTAAACTGAATAACTCATCACTGACTTTTCCCATGGATCTGGAAAAAAATGCAACTAATTGCAACAGAGATTTGGTAGTAATTGCAACAGAGATGTGGTAGTAATTGCTACACATGGCTTTGAGTTTTAAACTGAATCACCTGTGTTTGGCTTTTCCATGGATCTGATAAAAAGAAAATGCAACTGATTGCAACTAGGATGTGGTATAAATTGCAACAGAGACATGATAGTAATTGCAACAGAGAATTTTCTAGTGAGTTTGCATCATTTTATTTTGAAAAAAAATATCACACATGTTTTGTATGTTTTCTTTTTGTCAGGAATCAACTATACCAGCTGTGTTAGTGCCAAGAGTGAGGCAGCAATTCTCTACAAAAAATGATGCTTACATATTTTACAAAGATTATGCAAAGCTGGCTGGGTTCAGTTTGAGGACAGCGAGAACAAGCAAGGAGACGAATCATTGGGTCTGCAACATGGAAGGGAAACATGAGAGCAAAAATAAAGAAGAAGAAGCAAAAACAGAAAAGGGATCGAGAAGATGCGGATGTCCGGCTTATGTGAAAGTTAAGAAGGATGGGAAGCACAATTTCTGGTTCTTTGACCATGTGCAGGAAGCCCACAACCACAAACTTGAGCCGTGTCCCAGGATGACAAGATACATGCACGCGCACAAGAACATGGCAGAAGGCATGGGTGACTTATTTAACATAATGACAAGGAACGGAGTTCCACATCAGGCAGCATTGAATGTGATGGCGGATCTGTATGATGGTCGCCATATGTGGGGTTTTACAGAGAAGGACATAAAGAATATGTACGTGCTGAAATTTTTTTCACTGAATTGCAACATGTCACATATCTGAATTGCAAGATGTCACATATCTGAATTGCAAAAAACCATGTGACTGAACTTTTTCTAACAAAAACTGCCCTATATTTTTTTAAATGTTCACAGGAAGGCGGCGAAGGCTAGGGAGGAAAGAGAAGATGATCTTAACAAGCTGCTGCAGTTCTTCAGAGAATGCAAGGAGAACAACAAATATTTCGGAAGAATGCAAGGAGAACAACAAATATTTCTACTGGGATGTGGATGCAGATCCAAAGACTGGAGTGATCAAAAACATATTCTGGAGTCATGCAAGCCAGAGAGCCGAATACAAAGATTTTGGAGACGCCATCACCTTTGATACGACACATAAAACCAACAGCAAGAAGATGCCGCTGGCGATGTTTGTTGGAGCCAACAATAACCTCAAGAACGTGACCTTCGGACAAGCTCTGATTGGTGATGAATCGATTGGATCATTCAAATGGTTGTTTGAGACGTTCAAGAGTTGCATGGGTGGACAGGAACCTCATGTTATCCTGACGGGTGAGCCTTATCTTCTTTTCTAAAAACATTGATTGCAACCTTAAAAAATTGTATAGTTGCTGCAGCAAAATGCCGCCGTGTGTGTTGCTGATCCTGTTTCCCCCCTGTTTTCTGTCTTTTATCAGATGCAGATCCAGCAATGAAAGTTGCAATTGAGTTGGTGTTTTTCAAGTCTCAACACAGAAACTGTCGTTGGCACATAATAAGGCCTTGGGAGTTTGAGTTGGACCAGCTGTACACCGAGCACAAGGATAAAAACTTGAAGGAAAGGCTTGAATCGTTGATAAACTATCCATTGGGCCCGACGCAATTTGAGGTTGAATGGGAGAAGCTAGTTGATGAGTGTGGCATTGCTGATCATCCTGCCATTAGAGCCCTGTGGGATAAGAGGGAGAGGTGGATAGCTGCTTATTTCAAGGGGATGTATTGTGGTAGGATGACGTCGACGCAATGATCGGAGAGCCAGAACAGGGTGCTCAAAGATGGCTATGTTAGTGAGAGCACTAGCCTGCACATGTTCGCTAGAAGGATGCTAGACTCACTCCAGCACGCTGACCACATGGACGTAGGAGAGACACATTATGCACAGGTAAAAGAAAAACAAAAAAAATCACATGGCATTTGCAATGGTTACTGTTCCTAGTTACAACACAGTCCATATTCTAATTGCAAAAAAGACAAACATACTAAAAAAATAAAGATTGCTAAATGCAGGCTAAGGTGGTGCGGGCTTGCAAAGCAAAATTTGATGAGCAGCTATGCAGAGTGTACACTAGACCTGTATACCAAGAGTACAAAAAGCAGTACAATAACATCACAACATTTGTCATTCGCCCTGATCCAGACCCACAGATGAGTAATGGGTGGTTGGTGAAGCATGAACAAGGGGGAGGGAGCTTCTGCTGGGCACAACATGAATTGTGGTGGTTCTTGATAAGGACAATGGTGAATATAGATGCGAATGCAAACAATGGGAACACATGTATCTGCGGATCTGAAAAAATATTTGTTAAAAGCTCCAATTGCAACTTCATTGGGCACACAGGTTGCAACATGTATCATACAAATGATTGCAACTTCGACATGTGCATTTGTTGTTTTTTTAAAAAAAAATTACAGGCTATTCTCGCATGCATATTATAAGAGCCTTCACCCCACCGCAGTCGAGAAAATCCCAGAAGTACATCCGGAAAAGGTACACTCATAGTGCGAGGCAAGAAGTTACGTGGGATAGGCATGACGGCGTGCTAATTGGTCCAATGACAAGCCAAGAACAGACCCGGATGTCCGACTTGCTACCTAAGTTGATGAAGCTCGGAAGGGCGGGAAGTAGGTCGATCGTGCTTGTTAAGAGACAAATAGGCGGCTGGACAAGATCATCCCAGAATTGAAATGTTTCAAGAAGCATGGAGAATGGGTCGCTGTAGTAGGGCCGTCACAAGAATCGAATTAGTGGCGACAACAAAGACACCCTCGCTAATGATGACACCACAGACTAATGGGTCGCTTGGCGTTGGGCCATCGGCAATCGGATCGATGGTGACAACAACACAAACTGATAATGGTAGTATTTGATCGCAGCCATCATCAGTACTGTTGCATGATGGATTGTTGCTGATTGAGCCCCCTGTAGCACGCACAAAAGGCAGAGGGAAGAAACGGAAAAATGAAGTTGAGCCTCCACGTGATGGTATCCCGTTCAGCACATATGACAAAGAAAACTATGGTAACAAGGAATGCAGCGGGTGTGGGGTCCGGGGTTCACATTACGTCACGACATGTCCGATAAACCCCGATCGAAGCAAGGCTGCAGAAATGCGTCTCCACGAAAAGAGTGCTAAAGCAAATCTTTGGGCCTCCAAGGAAAAGAGGGCGGCCAAAGCTAGTGAGGGATCTCGCATGAAGAAAGTGATGTAGATGTTCTTTGAAGTTGCTAAAACACAACCAAGCAGCTCTGCGCGCAGAGGGGCTAGAAGAGGAAGAGGTTCAGCAACCAGAGGCCGTGGGGGAGAGCTCCGCGTGTGAACTGCAACGAGTAAAAAGTGCTTTGGACCAAAAAAAAAAACAAAAAAGTCCTTTGTGTTTTTTTTCTTTGTAAAAACACATAGTGTGGCATGTG